GAGCTTCTCCGACCGGCAGCAGATGAAGGACATCCGCTCCGAGGCCGAGCGCCTGGGCAAGACCATCGACCGGCTCATCGCCGACACGAGCACCATCATCACCGAGGCGCGCATCTACGTGGCCAACGGGGACCTGTTCGGACTGATGGACGAGGAGGACGACGGCAGCCGCATCCGGGAGCACGAGCTGCTCTACCGCATCAACGCGCAGATGAAGGCCTTCCGCAAGGAGCTGCAGACCTTCATCGACCGCCTGGAGGTGCCCAAGTCCGCGGACGACCGTGGTGCCGAGGAACCCATATCTGACCCCCACGCCCCGCTTTAGGGAAGTCCCGGCGCTGGGCTCCACTGGGCGCACCTGTTCTTTCACACTGTCCCTTCTTCAGGCCTGAGCTTTTCATCGCCGCATTCCCAGTCACTATTTCCCCCTCTGTGATTTTTAAAGGGAAACTTTATTCCTGCGCCCCCCACACCCGTTCTTGTGTAAAGATTAAAGAAAAGGTTTGTTAGATTTATAATAATAATGATTATTATTATTATTCATTATTAAAGGTCAGCATTTACAATATTATTCCACCGATTCTAATAGAACGAGCTGCAAGAAGATCCCTAATAAGGAATCTTCAGTTGTTGGTTTGCAAATTTCCAAGCCAAGATTCAAATTGAGTTTAAAATATATATTTGTAAAGTCACTAAGTTGATACGTAAGTACTGTTAAATACGGAAGCCGGCGGAGAAAAGAGCTGATACTGTGTCTAGAGCCCGACCAAACGGAACACATGGCAGCTGTTGCTTTACAGGTTGAGGTGACATAATCATTACTTCTAGAAGATACCACTGTGGGCTCTGCAGTGGAGAATCTCAGGACTGGGGAAGGAGTGTTATTTTTTAACTTCACTGCCACGCTAATTCAGAGAAATAGTAATAACTATTCCCGAACAGGGGAAACGAGCATTTTTCCTTCATCCTAAATTGTAGAGGCACTCTTGATGAATTGGACTGAGCTGCTCTAGCCAGGTATGGTGGCCAAAGACCAACGCGTTTTGTCAGAGTGAACCACCTAAGAGATAATTCAGAAAGCAAAACAGGCAGCGTCCCCCCCCTCCCCCAACCCCTGGCAAGCCTGGTATCCCCTATCCACTGGAGAACCTGTGGAAGCACAACAGCATGCATGGCTTTTAAGACACGCCAGAGGTTTGAATTAAAAACCACTTTATACACAGCAGCCTGACATACATTTAACTGCCTGTTAGTCACAACTAGGCACATCGCAACCCTCTTGCTTGTTGATCTTGCATGTTGCTCTGCTTTGCTCCGGAAAGAAAACAAAATAGTCTTATGATAAAACTTGTTGAATTGTTTAAATGTTGAGGCTTATTCCTTCTATTGATCGTATCAAAACATTGGTTTCTGGTTTCCTCGCTGAAGCTTTTTGGGGTACTGTGAGCATGTGGTTTTTCACCTGTGCCCTTGGGAACAAGGGAGACATCAGAGCGAGAGAATGCACTGGGTATAATAACAGGCTTTCAGATCTGGTCAATAGAGGCATAAGGGGGGTTCCGCTTTATCTGAAGTTGAATGAATGCTTCGATGAGTTGATATAAATGTAAGTTTTAAAAATTATTATTAATTCTTCTCTTTGTCTTTGCATTTACCTTCCCAGATGTTCCAGCCTATCATTTTACTTATCCTCATTCTTGTATTATTTTCATCACTTTCTTACACAACAATATTTAAACTTGTCTTCCTTTTTACGCTGTTTTTTGTACTGTAAATATTTCATCATTTATCATTCATTGTAGTATTTTCAGTTTGTTTATTTTGTTCATCCTTCAAGACAAGAAGTAAAAGAAGTATAATTTCTGTAGTAACCAATGCTATAAAAACACTGAAGACTGCTTAATTTCTTTAAAAGACCCATCTCACCACTACCAAATTCAGTAAGAAGCCCAGGGACTAAAATATTTCAGGTAAGGAAGTAAGTGTGACTTTTTTTTATTATAAATCATTTTAACTTGTGCTTCTGTCTTTTACATCTTCATTTGTATTCTTCTCGATAAAGAATTGGCAGAATGACTATAAAAATTGGCCAAATCAGTTTTTCTCATTAGCTGACTAATGATAATTCAAAAGCTAGACATTCACTCACAAGTTGGTTACATTTTCAAAATATACGTAGGCTTTGCTAGTTACATCAGACTAACAGGATAATTTTGATATCCAATAATATATATGAAAATTTTGGTGAATGAATGAAATGGGGCCCTCATAGAAACTAAGTAATTATTTGCAATGTTGATGGTGTTCTGTTAAAAAAAGATGTGTTTTGAAATATATGTGTGGATTAGGTCTTAGTTCATTGAGAAAATAATTATTTCCATCCTACTGCTTTGGCCATCTTTCAACCAAACTATTATACTTTGAGCCATATGTTGCTAATCAAATTTGTTGCTTGAAGTCCTGTCCTCTATAATAGATTGTTACACAGAACTGCTTCCGGAGCAGGAAATATGCTAGAATTATAATATGTGAAATGTTTTGAATAGGAACTATACAGTCATTCTCTAGAATTTTATTAAACCACAAACCACAACTAGTAGTATATAGTTCCAGTAGGCATTACTCTCTAGACATAAACTTTCTATGTTGAACCTAAGCCCCCTTCCCCTCCTATCTGAATTGGCTCCATGTACCCAAAGGCCTTATCAGTCCATCTCGTTGTGCATTTACCCAGTGGAAAGGTGGGCTGCACCTGTACCACTGGCTATTCAGAAGTCACAATGCTCATTGAAGACACATATTTGGAAATACTCTCAGATTGGTTGGTGAATATGAAAATCTGTAGTCAAACTAAACCAACTAAATCAGAGAAGACAAGTAGGAATAATATATGACAGAAAGGAGAACCAAGATGAATATTGTGTGTGTACAAAGTCACACGTGCACACACGGAGATGGAAGTGCGTGTGCACACTGAATGAAAGCCTCAGAATGACCCCCCCCTCCGCCTCCCCTGTACACCACACCTTACCAATACACCTCTTTGTCATTAAGCCATCTCTGACACAAAGCTCCTCTTGTTTGTTAAAAATGAGGATATGATATCCCACAAATCCACCTGGAATGATGGATGCCAACTGACTCTGCCCTCCAAATCCAGATAAAGCGCATACTCAAGAGATGGGAGGATGAAGCAAACATTTTGAGATATCTGCTCTGTTCAGTACAGAGGAAAGTGAGATTCAGTTTCCACTCTTTTAGAGCCTTCAGTTGGTTGAAAGAGCAGGACAGACACGCAAACAGCTAATTCTAACATGTACTGTATTGAATTGCAAAAAAAGGCCTGTGGTTATAATTTATTGTTTATTGGACTCCTAATAGCATGTTAGATTTTCCTAAAAAAGAAAACACAAGAAAAACACACATATACAACAAAATTCTTAGGCATTCTTGGATGGGATGATGCCATAAATACATGCAGGGATAGTGCAGATACCTCAGTAGTATCTTGTGACCAGAATTAGGAAGGATTGGCTCGCCAAGGGAGGTCTAGGCTAACTGAAATGCCAGCCTCATCTTCAGGTCTCTTATGGGGACTTTAGGTCGTCCGGGCAGTGGTGGCATTAATCTTACCTATGTGCTCCTAAGGTATTGGTTTTCTAGGAGAATTTCATGGGAAACTTAGACTCTATCCAGGCCCTCTATCTAGGGAACCCCAATAAGATGTTGGGGAGAGAAACAGGACTCACTTCGCTGCTGCTCACAGATTCTGGGGGTTGGGGGTCACTCTGACAGCTCATTTGAAGTCAGGGAGGCAATTTTTCTGTATAGTAAAAGTCCAGGCAAGCCCTTTCCAACTCTGCCCCACCCACTGCATAGCTGGCTTCCCGATTGTGCCTGCGTGTGCACACACCTCTACCGCACCGACGTGTACAGTGAGTGAGGCACCAGCGTCAGGGCATTCAGACCTGCTTCTGACTGAGCGGACTGCCCCTGCTGGGGGTTAGTTGTTAGGAGATGGCCTCGGCAATCAGCCAGCAGCATGCAGTGACCTTGTCCCTTGCCTTCCTCTCCCTGGAACGTCAGGCTGCTCTGTAGACATCCGGGGTCCAGTGAGCGTCCTTTCCCTGCATCACTGGCCACAGGCTTGCGAAGAGAAGTGAACAAAGACAGTCCCCAGAACCTCAGAAAGAATTCCCGGTATCTTCGTCCTCTCCCCTTTCATCCTGTCACTTCTATGACAGTATCTTTATTGTGTAAAGCGTGTTCTAAAACAGGAACACCCAGGCTTCTTTGTTCATCAGGAGAACAAAATCCCTGAATGATTTAGACAAAGAATCCTCCCCTATTTGCACTTTGAAGCTGTGCTATTTAAACATCACATTGAAAATAAATTCAAACAAACCAGTCTTATTGTAGAAAATGTCCTTGCGTGCACATTCTTGGGTGTGGGAAGGAGTGTCTTTGTAATTTGGCCTAATTTAAGAAAAAAAAAATGCAGTTGACTATTTTTAAGCATAACTAACTCAAACTCATAAAACAAAGGGAAACTCAGTGCTGAGCCTGGAATGTGTATTGGCCTGCATCCCCCAACCTTCACTTCAGTTTGCGTGGTGGAGTGGGATACGGTTGTTTAATCAGCTGCCAGTGAAGTTTGGAATGTCATTTTGGTAGCTCAGCCTTAACCTCAAACACTCATGCAGTGTTTGTCGCTCTGTTCTTATAGAACCACAGCCCATTTTCATCTGGTAAAGTAATGTGGTGGGTCAGATACCCTAATTGAGTGTGAGGATTGAAGAAAAAAGTGGTGGAGGAAAATACCAAAAAGTGAGAAAAGTTGACTGTTCAATGAACTCCTGGGACTTGGGACAATTCGGAAACAGTATTTGTGAAGACACTGCTGCTTAACCCATAGTTATACACCAGTTAAGTCTAATGAAAGTTTTATTCTGTTTGTAATTTTGATTGAGCTTTTAAAGGTGAAGCGATTGCATACACATTTGGATGAAACTTAACATTTCCTGAGTAGGTCCTGGTACTCTGGACAGCCTCCTTGTGGAATTTCAGAGGGAAACGCACACAGAGTAAGAAAGCTTTATGGTCTGGACATGTAGGAAATCCTTCGTAGTGACTGTACTAAATGTGGTAGCATACTCAGTATTTCTCAATACTCTTGTGTTGATCAGTTGGGAGAGGAGGATGTGGTGGTAGCTACTTTAAACGTTGGCCATTCTGGAAGTGTCTGCAGAATCACTGAATCTCTAACGGTCCTTTCCATGTAACGTAATACGTTTCAGTTCACACCTTCTCTGCTCACTCACTCTAAACTATTCAGTTCCGTTTAAAAATAACTCTGCAGCTGTCCTCGTGGAGTTATGGGTAGTTGTTAGAACACCATCAGGAACAACTTTCAAGTACGGCACTTAAAGCCTCACTTGATCAGAGAATAGGAGCAGCAAGTGTAACAACACTCGCCTCTCAAAAGTAAGGAGCGACTTTGGAAATCTCCACCTGTCACAGTCCAGTGTAAACCAGGCTGTGTTGTGCTAAAGAGCCCCATTTGTATCTCAGGTTTATGTTTAATAAGCTTGAAGGTATTGACATTTCCTGGTTATTCAGTTTCATTGTGAGAATTAGAAAAGTTTTTTTTTTAGCTCATAGTTGTTTGAGGTTTTTTTTAATCACAATTAGCTATTTATCACAATAGGGTACCATCAAAATCCAACATTTGAAAATAAAATTGCATGATTTTATAAACTTATAAAATTTATGACATAAGAATATACAGGGTATCCCCAAAAATGTACATACACTTTAACAGCTGATAGTTCAACTTTGAAAATGAAATGTAATTTAATAAACACTGCCTTTATGATTATTCAAATTGTGTGTATACATTTTTGGGGACACCCTGGATAGCAGTAGTTTCTAGCAATTATTCAGCCTTTTCAAAAATATTCATGTAGCTTTATTGACTTGTGTGTTAGAATGTTTCTTTGAATGTTGGCTACACCACAATTCCTGTTTAGGGTGTTTCAAGCCCAGTTTATATGATTTTGCTTTTCTCTTGATTCTTTTAAATTATCGGCACATTTTTAGATATATGAATTAATTAAAAGCTTTCTCTTATACCAAAATGTTTGTTAGATAAACAGTGAACTGGAAGATTGCACACTTGAAAAAAACGAGAACCTTTCAGAAAAGCTTAGAACACAGACTCATTTCCCAAAATGGCAAAGGGAGCCCGGGTCTTCAGGAAGCTCTTCTGCGCTGCACACTCCTTGACGAAGCTCTGGGGGTTAGCAGTGCTGAGCGCGTGGCTTTTCTGTAGTCTCTTCTGAGTGTTAGGAGTTGAGCTGTAATAGAATCTACGTTAACAAACAAAATGTCTAAGTGATTTTTGAAGGCTGGCTGGCCACATTCGAACCTTTCGGAGGTTGTCCAACGTCATGTGCCTTCCAAGTCAGCAAGTCGGCTCTTTAAATTCCTGTCGAAGGCACCTGTGTTAGCCTAGGCCTTTGAAACTTCAGAGGGCATGAGGGTCAGAGGGAAACTCATCCATTTCCCACTTGCCTCAAATGACTTAATAAAGGAAGAGAATTTAAGAGCTTAAAACAATATCGTATGGAGTCTTTTCTTTCTTAAAATCAGAAAGCTCAGCTTAGTGTCTAGTTTAGAAGCCCCTTTCTTATTTTTCGTGAATGTGTGCAATTTTTGCACAGTTCATGCCACTCCTTCTGTATCATTGACTCCTGGACAGATAAAACAGAGTTAGACATTTTATTTTTTTAAAATATGTTTTTATTGATACTTCTTTTTAGAAAAAGAGAAAGGGAGAGAGAGATAGAAACATCCATGAGAGAGAACGTTGGTCAGCTGCCTCCTACTGGGGATTGAGCCTGAAATCCAGGCATGTGCCCTGACTGGGAATCAAACCAGGGACCTCTTGGGGTGCATGGGACGGCGTTTAACCACTGAGTCACACCAGCCGGGCCAGAGTTAGACATTTTAAGTAGAACATCCTACATGTCAGCCTACATCAGTCATTTAGAACTTCAGATGGAGAGTTTAACATGTCAGCAAAATTAATTTATTCTGGATTTCTAGGTGACTCCTAGGAATCTGAGCTCCTTTGCCTGAAAGGAAATGTGTCTCAGCAGAGGTCCGAGGGGCGCTGCACGGAGAGTGTTAACGTTACCCTAACTGCTTAGACTCCTTATGTGGAAAAAAAACACAAGTGAAGTGGCCAAAGATCATTGAAGAAAAAGTGGGCATGCCCAGCTTTGGACCTCACAAATCAAGTGAGAAAGCCTCCCGGAGGAGAAATGTATGTCCCTGGCCATGCTCCTCATTTTAGAGGGAATGTAATGTGTTGGATAAGGAAGAAAGAAGTTGTAGGACTCCTACTGTTCAAAACATTTCAATGACAGCCACAACAGAAGAATATAGAATAAGGGCCAGGACAGCCATTAAGGTATTGTGTTTGCAGCTTCATGCAGCTGCACTGAGAGCCCTAGGTGTGGAGTTGGGCCTGGCGGGCTCTGAGGTCCTCTGATCAGAGTGGGTCCCAGGCTCCATGGGGGTGTGGCTTTGAGCTCCCTCCTGTACCCTCATCTCCAGATCTTCTTTCTGCCTGAGCCTCTCACATTGTGATGCCACGTCAAACCCTCAAAACCCAGCACCCACTCATGTGATTCTTCATTCTGACCTCCCCTCCCTGCCCACCCCATGCCCCGTGAACAGAACAGATCCTTTTCCTGAGCTCTGATGAAAGCTTGCCTATATTGACATGTTTTTCCCGGTCCTTTCCGTATGCTAGCTGTTCTTTTCTGTGCCACGGTGTGACTGCATCCTCTGTCGAGGGCATTTCATTGGCCGATTACTGAAAATATTATGCTATCACCTAATGGCACATAATCGAACATTTCTGGTAGAAGATATAGTTGGGCTAGCAACTCCTTAGGGATGGGGAGTGAAAGAGATTAGGGATTAATTCCTGTGTCCTTCCATAATTTATACTCACTAAATGGCCTCTCCTGCTTACTGCTAGAACTTCCTGAGAGATGTGACTCAGGGTGGCCCCCTTGTGGTGGATAGGCGTTCCCAAGGCTCTTTTCTGGAATAAAATGCAGCCGAAGAACAGTCCCCATATTATTTACATTTTGTTGTCAACGTTGTCCACATCTCTCAAGTCAAGCATCTGGAAATAATATAATGAGATGCTAAAAACACATTTGAAACCCCTTTATAAAAACTCTAGTTTTAAATAGCCCACATTTCTAAAATGTTTTATTTCTTCAGAGTACACATAAGTTCTTAAAAAGGGCACAGTTTTGAAACTGTTTCTTTTGAATATTCCTGTCATCTGGAAATTCCTGAACATAGCCCCGTGGCAGATGGGCTTGACTAAGAAAACCTGTTGACGTGTCACCAGCCCTCCGCCAGTATCTCGTGATTCCCGGGGACAAGCACCCGGCACTGGGACAATAGCACATTAGCTGAAAAACAGCATCTAAATATGTAGCTTTCATGGGTCACAACTGCTCTGTGTGTGACTCTCAGGATTTCATAACCCAAACCAGATTCTTAAAAGGATCACATTTATACTACTTTTTATAGCACAGAGTCCACCCTCTGCCATTCTAGGACTCAGAATGACACAGGACCAAACTGGACAGAACCAGGTGTGGAACTTTATAGAAACTAAGAAACCCAGTCCTCACCCTTGGATGGTCTCATTCAGAAAGTCAGGGGGAAAGTTAACAGCTTCAGTGACTTTCAGCATAATTCCGAGGGACTGTGGTGTGCTGCAGAGGCTGGGAGGAATGCTAAACGGTGGCCCTCTTGGAGGAATGCTATGGGACCACCGGGGAAGGCTCTCCACGTTAGTTTATGGACTGATTTCAAGGCAGTGAGTTACTCAGGATGTGGGTGGTCACGCTACAGGTTGTACTCGGGGATCTTCTGAGGGGACCGACCTTGGTGAGGACAAGGACCTGTCTTCTTCCAGTCCTCAGGATCTAATGACACCTGGCACAGAGCTGGTGCTTACAGATTTTTATTAACTGCAATGTTCATTGCAGTGCCAAAGGCCTCCCCTTAGAAATGGAGGATAATTTAAGATTCTAGGCAGTGGTTCTCAACCTTCTGGCCCTTTAAATACAGTTCCTCATGTTGTGACCCAACCATAAAATTATTTTCATTGTTACTTCATAACTGTAATGTTGCTACTGTTATGAATCGTAATGTAAATATCTGATATGCAGGATGGTCTTAGGTGAACCCTGTGAAAGGGTCGTTCGACCGCCAAAGGGGTCGCGACCCACGGGTTGAGAACCGCTGTTCTAGAGCGTTCTAAACAACTGAGGTCATGAACCCTAAAGTACTTTGAAATTGCAAAAGGGCAACATGATTCTAGAAGGAAGGA